GTTCAGGCAATTCTCCTGCCTCAGCCTCCTGAGTAGCTGGGACTACAGACACGCACCACCATGCCCAGCTGATTTTTTGTATTTTTAGTAGAGACGGGGTTCCACCATGTTGACCAGGATGGTCTTGATCTCTTGACCTCGTGATCCACCCGCCTCGGCCTCCCAAAGTGCTGGGATTACAGGCTTGAGCCACCGCGCCCGGCCCAGAAATATTATTCTTTTGATTTTTTTTCAACCATTAAAAATGTAAAAATCACAGCAACTAAAACAACAGAATCGAAAGACAACGTATGGAATAGGGGGAAATACATACAAATCATTTATCTAATAATGGGTTAATATCCAGGCTATATAAAGAACTACAATCAACAACAACAACAAAAATAACCCAATTTAAAAAATGACAAAAGACTTGAATAGACATTTCTCTAGACAAACTATGCAAATGGCAAACAAGCATAAAAAGATGCTTAACATCACTATCAACACAGAAATGAAAATCAAAACTACAATGAGCTATCCCCTTATACCCATTAAGATGGCCACTCTTGGAAAATAATTAATGTTGGCAAGGATGTGGAAAAATTGGAATCCCTAGGCACTGTTGGTGGGAATGTAAAATGGTGCAGCTGCTATGGAAAAACGGAATGGATGCTCCTTAAAAGATTAAAAATAGAACTACCATATAAGCCAGCAATCCCACTTCTGGGTATATAGCTAAAAGAATTGAAAGCAGAATCTCAAAGAGGTACCCATGTTCATTGCAGCATTATATACAATAGCCAAGTGGTAGAAGCAACTTAAATGTCCATAAACAAATAAACGGATAAAGAGAATATGGTACATGCATGCAAGGAAATATTCAGTCTTTAGAATGGAAAGCTTGTCAAATGCTATCATTTGAGTGAATCTTGAGGACATGATGCTAAGTGAAATAAGACAGTCACAGAAGGCCAAATACTGCACAATTCCACTTACAAGAGGCATGTAAAGGAGTCAAACTCAGATACAAAGAATTGTGGTTGCCAGGGGCTGGGGGGAGGTGGAAGTGAGCAGTTGTTCAATGGGTATAGAATTTCAGTCATGCAAGATTAAAACATTCTAGAGATATGTTGGACAAATGTGTGAGTATTGTTAACACTACTGAATTGCACACATGGTTAACATGATAAATTTTATGTTATATTTTTTACTGTAATATTTAAAAAATTGGGCCGGGC